ATAATATAATATAATATAATATAATATAATATAATATAATATAATATCTAGTACAAGACTTGTAGTCACAGGTGGAACTCTTGTTGGTAGCTTGTTAGGTTTCAAACTCTGGTTTCTACGAGCTCTCTGTCTAGTTTCTTTGACATCATCCCCAGTCAGTCAAAGATCCTCAGTCACAAAGCAATGTCAAGCACTTGCCAAGAGGGCAAAAGACTTGTCTATTCCTCCATCTTCACTCTATGCCTGTGTCAAGCTGGGTAATGCCAGCGTCACACAATACACTTCTACCCACAGGAGGTGGCTCCTGGAACCCAGAAGTGATGTGGGACACCATTTTCACTCAAGATTTGGGTAACTCTGATCTCCCCTACTGCCACATGCTTCTCCTGGGGTCACCCCCATCTGTCACAGAAGCTTGATATTACAGGGATCCATGAATTAGAGTGGAGAAAAAGAACTCGGAAAAGACCAAAGCTTCAAGATGCCTGTGTGCAGCTAAGTGCAGCTGCTGAGATGCAGTGCTAGCTACCCAGCCCAGCCTTCATCACTCTGTCACTTCATGTCACTAGACATACACTAGGAAGATGGAGGGCGGTAGTAAACAGAAGTTTGACCTTTCCATCGAGTCCCCTAGCTGGACTTTGGGACCTTGCCATCCCCTTGGAGTTTGCTAGAATTGGCTAGAGAACAGTCCTTGACTCAAACAACTGAGAAATATACTTAACACCACATTGATTTTCCATATAATTTTATAAGCACAAACATTCTCTTTCATTTCCTGACAAACAGCTATATTCCCCAAAGTGTCCAATAAAAATCAGTAATTTGCACATCACTGTCTTTCTCAGAGGCTGCTGTTTGGAGTTAGTCATCAAGGCCAAGGTCTTGCCTCTTCCACCCCCTCCCCAAACAAAGCAAAACCTGTTGATGCTTGGTGGCCTTCTTTATAGACTTCCTGATGCCTGGGAAGTGTGCTTACTCTGCAAGCAGAGATGGAAGGCGCCGCCTTCCACACAGCTCTGCCCCACAACTCTTCCACCATAGGGTCTGCTCGTGTCCAATCCCACACCCGCTCCCCGTAGCCATGAGGGAGAGTAACTCCTTCCTGCATGTGTCAAAGTAGAATGATTAATTCAATGACTGACATATGCCCGAGGCCAGATGGGCACCCAGTCCTCAGTGGCAGGGATTACTCAAAAGTTGCATCATAGAACAAGCAATGACAGGATTGAAGACTGGAAGCAGGCACTTTTCCATCCCAGGAATCTACATGCCATGCCCTCTCACCCAGGGACTGGAACGCATAGGGCCTTCCTCCTCCCACTTTGTGGTTTCTAACTTCAACCATATCCTTTTCCCCAGCCAGCCCCTCCCCATCCAAGCCGCAGCCAGGTTGCTGCAGGGGGCGGGGACAGCAAAGAAACAGAAAAGTATAGATTCTTACCCAGAAGTAAGGTCTTCTCAGGTCCTGAGGAAGCACAGTTCTCAGGAGACAAGGCGCCAGGGTTGCCAAGGGAACCTGAAATACTAGTTTGCCACAATCCTGCAGGAATTACGTCCCAGGGGTGAGTAGGGAAGTGTCAGTCATTTAAAACTGCTGAAGCTCAGAGTCTGAGGAAGAGAGAAGGAAGCAAAGGGAAAGAATGTCTCTCAGTGGCCAGGCGGCAAGCAGAGGAGTTCAGATTCCGGGATCTTCCCACCCCTACCCGGTGGTGGTTGTCAGGGAGCATGTGTTCTTGCTTCATGTTTTGTGCTGGTGTTTTCGTTTCTTTTTCCCTGAGCCCTGGCACTGGGGAGCGTGGAATGGCTCAACCTGTTGTAATCAAACATGTGGGTTGCTGCTTGTTGCAAAGATATTGCAGCAGCCTCTTCATTACAAGAGGCTGCTCTTGGATGCAAAGAATTAATTTCCTTGCCTGTGGGTGCCTGCTTGTGCTCCAGGACGTGGTTGGAGTGGATAGACAGAGTGCTCACTGAGACTGGGGACTGAGACACTGGGCGAGGGTTTCTGGTCATATGCTGTGTTCATCTTTTTGACTGATTGTGGCTCTTAAGGGATGAACTGTAGGAGACTCCTGCCAGATGCAGTCTCTGTGTGCAGGTGGGACTCAACCCCAGACTTCAAACTACAACTTTAAGTCTGATTCCTGGAAACTCATTGGTCCCAGTATCGCAGGCTTTTTATTCATAGGGCACACTCTGGATGGGACTATCCTAAGAAAACAGAGAAGGTATTCATGCCCCCAATTTGTTGGCTTCTTTCCTCCCTCATTCATTCATTCATTCATTCATTCCTGCATGTGTGAATTCATCTGTCTGTTCTAAACTCACCATTCATCCTAGCACTAATTACTTTATCTATGAACTTACCTATTATTCTCTTTCATGTTCATCCACCCACTCGGTATTCACATACATTTTTGTTCACTCACTAATTGACACGTGCATTTGTATTATTATTTGTCAAGATTCATCATTTATTCACCTATTTATCATTTCATGTAATCTATATACTTTCCAAACATGTACACATTCATTTTTTCATGCATGAAGCATTAACTTTTATTTCTTATATCCATCCATCCATCCATCCATCCAAATAACCCGTAAATCATTTTAAATTCACTGATTCATAGATTTGTTGTCCGAGGTGTAAATGTTCATCTACTTATGCACAAATTTGTACAATTCTTCATCTATTGAAGATACAGCCTAAGTCCTATGCTGAGGGATGACAGCACACCGGTTGGTAGCCCTGAAAACATACCTACAAGTAACATTAGAGGAATTGTATGAACAAGCTATATATATACATACACATACACACACACACACACACACACATACACACACACACACACATATATATATATACACACACACACACACACACACACAGAAAAAAGAGGTCATGAATTTGATCCAGAGCAGGAGCAGGTATATGGGAGTGTTTGGAAGGAGGAAATGAAAAGAGAATTAAAATTGCAATTAAAATACGGTTTCAAAAATGAACAATAACAAAAGAATGAACTTCTGAAAAGAGAGTAGAAGACAATAGATACAATTTCAAGGAACTAGATTTCAACACAAGGGGGAAGATGATGGAATCCAGGAGCACAGAGGATTCGAGGAAAATTTATAGGGAGATCTGAGGGACCTCCCCTGTCCCCCAGGGAAAGAGTGTTGGACTTGGATTTAATCTTACAGAGCCTTGAATCTAGTGTGGTTCAGCCAGTGTGGCTTTGCACTAGTTACCACCCTCTCTGAATCTGTCTCATCTTAAAATGGGCATGAACTGGCCTGAGGCTGTGGCTCAGGTGGTAGAGTGTTTCTCTAGCACACACAAAGCTCTGACTCACATAAATGGGTAGTGGTAGCTCACGCCCATGGTAGCTGTAGAACTCTGGAGTTGGAGGTCATCTTTGGCTATGAGTTTGAGTCCTGCCAGGGAAACATGAGACCTGGTCTCATAAAATAAAATAAAATAAAATAAAATAAAATAAAATAAAATAAAATAAAATAAAATAAAA